GCACCACGGCCGCGCCCTCCCGGCTCACGTGCGGGGCGGCCACCGCCCAGGCGGGCTCGGGCTCTTTGCAGTCCTTGGCGCTGGCTCCTGCGGGCGGCCGCTGGTCCCCAGGAGCGGGCTGTCGGTCTCCGGGGCAGGGGGGAGAGGAGCCAGTAGCTGGGAGGCGGCGGCGGCGGCGGCGGCAGCGCGGGCAGGAGCGAAGCAGCAGGTAGGCGCCGGCATCCTCCTGGCCTGAGGCCGGGGCAAGTGCGGGCTGTGGCACCTCGGGCGCTGCCCGTGTCCGCACGGAGCCCCCTGGGTCCCCCCGACTCCAGCTGCTCAACCGGAGGAGATCCTCCCCGCAGGTGCTTGCCCTGAGCCTGCGCCGGGCCGAGCCGGGGCTGCGGAGGTCTCCCCTGTGTCCCCGCGCTCAGGGGAGGCGGCAGGGAGGGCAGGGCGCCAGGGCGTCGCCTCAGCGGCGTTCATGGCCCAGCAGCTGCGCGAGGAGCATCCCCAGAAGCGCCCTGGCTGCTTCCTAGCTCGGCCTGAGCCGGTCCTGTTCTCGTGAACAGGTGGCCCTTCGCCGGCTGCCTTCTCCACGGCCGCGTGGCTGTTCAGCCCTGGGAGGGAGGCCAGGAGCATCAGGCTCGACCCTCGCCCAAAAACTTGTCACTTGAGCAATGCGGTTGTTTCAGAGCAACAAGTTCAAATCGGTTCTTTCTTCTTTAGGGACACCTTATCTCACACCCCGCCACCCCAAATATTATTTTACTTGGAAAATGTTATCTTATTTATCCCCCCAAATATTATCCTACTTGGAGCAGAGCATATATAAGGCTTTTTTTTTTTAATGCAGAGAGTAGAGAAGAAGGGGCACAGGAAAGTGAAGAGAGGAGTGGCAGGTTTATTTTATTAAAAGCTTTCTTCTGTTAGACCAAAATAATTATTGATACTATGCATATGAAACAGTGATAAAGAGCTTAAAATGAATTACTGTAACAATATAAGGGGGGAAACACTGCATGACTTAAGTGTTGCTTTCTCTCTTCCTTTTTGCCTGTAAAAATCAGGCTGACTTTCTTTTATTCTACTGCACTTTTATTCTACTGCACCCAGCCTTAAAAAAAAAAAAAAAAAGGGGACCATCTGTTGCCTATCTTAAGAACTTAGTGGGGACAAAGATGATAATCATTCTTTGGTTATCAAATTCTAATAGAGCATTTCCTGCCATTTCTATCAAAAGCAAGAGCTGCCGAGAGGTGCATGGATTTCTGGTAGAGGAGGCCAGTAGCACCTCTTCTGGCAGATGGGGCCCTCTGCAAGCCCTCCTACAATGGGTGTGTCAGGAGTGGGAAGGAAAACTCTAGCAGGTAGAGAGAGGTTTGCATAGGCTGCAGGCTTGCAAATGTTGATTCATCCTCAGATAGCCCAGATGGTTCAAAAGCATTTTATTAGCACTTTTTTGGGATGTATCTATATGTACTTATGCTTTAGAAGGGTGATCTCATTCCTGACTTTTTTGCCTCCTTTGCTCTAATTTTTAGCCTGAATGTTCTGAAAATATACTTACTCTTCTGACTTCCCTCTTTAAAGAACACTGTTAGATGAAATTTCTGCCAAAATTAGATTTTATGAAAACAAGATTTTACTAATCCCCAGTTTAAAAAAAAAAAAAAAAGAACCATGACTACTACATTAAAGGTACAGCAACACAATTTTTTTTT